ATATTTATATTTAAATGTATTATATGAAACGATACAAACTGGTGCAGAACAAATGTGGAAGAGATGCAAAAGAGATGTACAAGTGGTGCGGAAAAGGTGCGAAAGAGGTGCAAAAAAATTGCGGAAACGGTGAGAAGAGATGCAGAGAGGTGCAGAAGAAATGTGAAATTAATGTGGGGGAGGTGTGAGAGAGATGTGATATAGATGTAGAAAAAGTACAGAAAAGGTACATGAAAGATGCGGAAGAGATGTCGAAAAGGTGCGAGAGAGATACGGAAAAAGTGTAAAAGAAGTGCAGTAGAAGTTCAGAAAAGATGTAGGACGAGTGTAGAAAAAGTGCCGAAAAAGTACAGAAAATAAGTGTAAAAATGTACAAAAGAGGTGTAGAAAGATTCAAAAAAGTATAAAAAATACTAAAAAAGGGGTAGTAAAAGAGCACAAGATTTTACGAAGATGACGACGACGACGACGACGACGTATCTGAATGAATAAATGACGTAAATTGGGCTGAAGAATATGTGCACATATTTATATTTACGCTTCAAGTATACTTACGGACATGATTGTTATCTAATTTTAATTGTAAAAACCTATATTCTTCCCCAATATATACATTTTTTGATAACATCAATTTGTTTAAACAAAACAATAATTTTTAATTATATAACCGAGTTTCTTCCTGTAAAGGATACGCTGTAGCGTCTCTTTCATGACATGGTATTATATTATGTACTACAAAAATATACTTGACGGGAGACGCTACCGCGTCTCCTGACACATATAAATATGTAATAATATGTATGTGGAACATAAAATCTTTAGGTTCTATCAACTCCCGGTAAAAAATTTTTCATGCATGAATATGTATAAATATGTATAAACATATATAAATATGCATAAATATTCATAAACATGTATAATTATATATGAAATATGTCCATACATGTTCATACATCCTTTTTTCTATCATAAAATTACTTTTTAGTGTATTAGAAATAATAATAGTAATGTGGAAACATAAAAAAGTAATTAAAGGGATAATTTTCGCATTATTTGTTTTAGAAAAAAACAAATTTGGAAAAATATAAAAAAAATTACTTATACATAATTATGCATAATTTTATATATAATTATACATAAATAATTTTTTTACATTTCTTCAAACTTTATTTTTTTGAAAATATATTGCATTTACATTTTAAACAGTGCATTTTATTATTACTCTTGTGTTAAAAAAAACTTATAATTTATTAGGAAATGTTTTTTATAACATTACAGGCAACATAATATATATATACAATAATATTATAGGCAACATTTAACACAAGAGTGCCAAAAATCATCGTATTTATTAAGGATTAATATGTTATACTAGGATTAAATTCTTTTTTTAATAATTCCCGAAATATTCCGGCAATACAAACGAGAATTAGTTGAAAATAAAATTTTTTTTAGTTACAAAAAATGTACACGCTGTACACACGATGGATCATTTGTGACCCAGAACTTATTCGAAATTATTCTAGTTAAAGGATATACATGAAATGAGAGGCCGGCAACGTATAAAACTTGTTCTTTAGTTGCCAACAGACTTTTTTTAGGAATAGGTATTTGACCAGGTGCTCTTGTTATTCATTTCAAAGAAAAGAAATGTACAAGACACGAATGACCCAAAGGTATGTTGTATTAAGGATTAATCCAATATATAAGGTCTGTTCTTTTTAGCTGAAATTCTTGCACGGTTTATCTTTCTTCCTTTTTTCTCCGTACTGAAGAAAAAAAGATAGAAGATAAACGTACATAAAAGAAAACCTAAAAAGAACAATCCTCTAGTATTCCGCTTCAAAAACATTCTACTCAATAAATAATAATATCTTTCACTACGAAATCTTATTTATTCTATAATGTGCAAGTAAGAGTAACGACTTTAATATATAATAATTGGTTTTAATAAAAAAAAATTTTTTATTAATCGGCCACCGGTTTTTATAAAAACGGAGAAATCATCATAGATACGGTTCTCTTGACAAAATAATAAAATTAACTGCTACTTTCTTCTGTTAAAATGTGTTCCAAAATTATATTTTTCTCATACTAAGATTATTTTAATTATAATTTTCGGATTCAGCAAGTGAAACTGAGTAAAAAAAAGGATGAATCTAACGATCACTGCGTGTTCCCCAAATTACCTAAAATACATAAACTCCTTTATAATGTGTATGTTATTTGATTTTCTTTGTCTTTACGCTCTCCTTAAAAGTTTGAAACGTAACTTGCATAAATACCTATATAGTATGTCTGTGGTAACATGTATGTTAACATATAAGAAGACCAGATAAACGATAACATAATAACAGCCAGATCTTTGTGTATTAGCAAAACATGTGATTATTATGATGATCATCAAAATGCGTCGAGCAGCATCGAACTTCGACATTAGAAAAATTCCAGTAAAGGATCGGAACTTCGTATTTTCGTGACCAGTTGTCAGCAAATAGAACATCTGTCATGCGTCAATAATTTTACGGTCGCTCCTTTCATTATGATAATATACTTTATCTTATTTTAGGAACATAATTGTATATATTATATATACATATAAAATAATGTAATACAATTTGCGTTTTAATTCATAATAACATTGAGTGATAAACATACAGTGCATTTGTTAATTAAAAAATTTGATGATTTTGTCATTCGCACTCTCATTCCACTCCTGTGCTATTTATTGTTAGAATCGCGAATAAAAAATAGCAAAAAAAGCATGGATTTTTGAACAATAATTTTATATATATGAGTAGAAAATATTTAATTATATCACAAAAAATGGAGGTTCTATTTTCTTTCGTTCGGAAGGAAGATAATCTCAGATGTTTCTTTTATATATAAACCGGGTGTCCCATTTTAACTTGGACATCGAAATATCACAAAATGTATAAAAGATACGGAAAAATATTTCAAACAAAATATATATGGGTAGACGTGTCTAGATTAGTTTATTATGTTATTTTATGATATTAAAAAACAATATTTATTTTATTTATAGCACAAAAATTAAATACAAAACAAAAAAGACAGAAAATATCAGCTCAGAAGAAGAACAACCACGTTACATATCAGAATTCGTGAAATCCCTGGAATCAGAAGAAGAATCTGAAGGTATAAAGAATTGAAAAATGTCTAATTACACAAATAAATAAAAATTAAATGTTTTTTTTACAAATTTTTATTTATGTTCGTATGTTATGTTTTATATTTTATGATTCCAGGAGAAGACTTAGACAATATTAGTGAAAATGAGGAAGAGCAAGAAGAAGAAGAAGAAGAAGAAGAAGAAGATAATGATGATGATGATGATGATGATGATGATGATGATGATGATGATGATGATGACGAAGAAGATAATGATGACAAGCCGAGAAAGAAAAAGAAAAGTAAAGCTGCTACCTTCATCATAGATGAAGCTGAAGTAGACGATGATGTGGAGGATGACGATGAATGGGAGGAAGGTGCGCATGAAATTGGTATCGTGGGAAATGAAGTGGATGAATTAGGACCAACTGCGCGTGAGATTGAGAGACAACGTCGAGATACGAATCTTTGGAAGTAAGTATTTAGAATTTGAAGATAATTTCATAGATATCATGTTTGTTTTAATAAAAATTTTTGATTCTTTGAACATATTTTTTAGTACACAAGAAGAGGAAATTGAGGAGTACCTTCGGAAAAGATATAGCAACAAATCGATAGCCGCTGATCGTTTTGGCGACGGCGGTGAAGAAATGAGTGAGGAAATCATCCAGAAAACTTTGTTACCAGGCGTGAAAGATCCAAATTTGTGGATGGTAAAATGTCGAATAGGAGAAGAAAAAGCCACAGTACTGTTATTGATGCGCAAGTTCATCGCGTACCAGAATTCAAGTGAATTAATATAAATTTGACAGATTATCTTACCGAATATACCTTACTGCATGTCTCTAAATATCCTTTTGCTTTTTAAAAAATTTAGATGAACCTCTTCAAATAAAATCTGTTGTGGCACCGGAAGGAGTTAAGGGGTATATATACATAGAGGCTTATAAGCAGTCGCATGTAAAAGCTGCTATTGAAAATGTTGGAAGTCTCAGAATGGGTACATGGAAACAACAAATGGTACCAATTAAAGAGACGACAGAAGTGCTGCGAGTAGTTAAAGAACAAACCCATTTAAAATCTAAACAATGGGTCCGTGTAAAACGAGGCATTTATAAAGATGATTTAGCTCAGATTGATTATATCGATTTAGCACAAAATCAAGTTCACTTGAAATTGCTTCCGAGAATCGATTACTCTAGATTTCGTGGCGCGTTGAGAACAGTGCAGAACGAATCCGATGTATTGAAACGTAAGAAGAACAGGCAACCAGTAAAACCATTTAATCCTGAAGCAGTTCGTGCTATTGGAGGAGAAGTTACCAAAAACGGAGATTTCCATATTTTTGAAGGAAATAGATATAGTCATAAAGGGTTTGTTTTATTTTATAATATTATTATATGTCATTATTTATACGCATATTAGGTATATATACATAATTTTAATCAATTAAATGATTTCTTATTTTGTATAGGTTTCTTTACAAAAATTTTTCCATAAATAACATTATAGCGGAGGGTGTTAAACCTACACTTTCCGAATTAGAAAAATTTGAAGAAACGCCGCAAGATGTTGAAATAGATTCCAATGATACGTCAGGATTTGGAAAAAAAAATCAACTTCATTCCTTCACTAATGGAGATAATGTAATAGTATGCGAGGGTGAACTTATAAATCTACAGGGAAAAATCATTTCCATAGATGGGAACACAATTATGGTTATGCCCAAACATGAAGAACTTAACGAAGCTTTGGAATTACAAGCTTCAGAATTACGAAAATATTTTGCACAAGGCGACCACGTGAAGGTAAATTTAGCGCGTTGAACAACTATACTCTTGCCCATAACATTGTAATCTCATTTTAATTAATTTGCAGATTACAGCAGGACGATATGAAGGCGACACAGGTTTAATTGTTAGAGTAGAACAAAACAGAGTAGTTTTATTCTCCGATTTGACAATGCACGAACTCGAGGTTCTACCGAGGAATCTACAATTGTGTTCTGACACGGCAACTGGTGTTGACAGCTTAGGTCAATTCCAATGGGGTGACTTGGTGCAGCTAGATGCACAAACAATTGGTGTTATCGTTCGATTGGAACGTGAAAATTTCCATGTCTTGTCTATACATGGGAAACTAATCGAAGCAAGACCGCAAGCTCTTACAAAGCGTCGCGAAAGCAGAAATACAATGGCATTGGACTCTCAACAGAACACTATACAAAAAAAGGATATTGTTAAAGTAGTTGACGGACCGCATGCCGGTCGAGGAGGTGAAATTAAACACCTTTACAGAAGTTTTGCTTTTTTGCACTCAAGAATATTCATCGACAACGGTGGAATATTTGTATGCAAAACCAGACATTTACAACTATCCGGTGGAAATAAAACAACTCCTATCTCTATACCACCATTGCTAGGATTTATGTCACCTAAAATTACCTCCCCGATGCATCCTAGTGGGTAGGATCTTTTATTCTCATTCTATACTCACTTTATTAATATATTTTTTCGAAGTTTACTTATATGTAAATTATTGCTCAATCTTACAGAGGTAGTTTTGGACAAAACAGCGGAGGTGGACGAGGCAAAGATCGTAGTGGCATTGATGGTATAGGACGAGATCGAGAATTAATAGGAGTCACCGTCAAAATAACAGGTGGACCTTATAAAGGAAACGTGGGTATTGTAAAAGATGCGACGCAGACAACAGCACGAGTGGAACTACATTCAACGTGCCACACCATCTCGGTTGATCGTTCTCATATAGCAACCGTTGGTGTTTCAACAAGAGATGGTGGCTTCAGCAGCTACAACAGAACTCCGATTTATGGACCCGGTGGACAGACGCCGACGTATTCGAAAGACGCATCAAAAACACCTACGCATGGTTTCCAGACGCCTGTATACGAACGTGAGTATATTTATACACATGTACTTCTGATATGTGGAATGATTCTTTTATGTGGAAAGTATAATCTTTTTTAATTCGAATCTTATCAGATGGTTCTCGTACTCCACATTACGCCGGTTCGATGACACCATCTCACGATGGCTCACGAACACCAGGTCAGTCTGGAGCTTGGGATCCAACGGTTACTAATACACCTGCTAGAACGAATGATTTTGATGAATATAACATGGAGGAGGGTAGCTCACCTGGTTATCCTCCCGAATATGCTCCTGAAAGGCCATTTATTTCACAGACTCCGGGCACTATGTACGGCTCGGAACAAATCTACGGTTCGTGTCATTCGAGTCCTATAGAAAGTTCTACTGTGAACTCAAATCATGAGAGCTACTGTGCTACTCCGTCCTCAATGAGTACTGAATACGTCAACAGTTCATATAATGCGTTTTCGATGCCTTCTCCAAAAGATTACACACCTAGTAAGTAATATATGGAATCTGAAGTAGAGATGAAGATTTATACATACAATACATATTTTTATTATTGTATCTCCATATTGCAGTAATTTTATAACTTAATTTTGCAATATGATTGCCCTTTAATTTTTTCGTGTTATTTACAAGTTATAAATAAAGGTTTATGACTATTTTAACACTATTTTAACACTATTATTCTAATCTACTTAATTATATTTTTTTTATATAATTGTGTTAAACAATAGAGACAAATTGAATTGATTAATGAAATTAAATATGTGTTTTAGAAACAGAAACCACTGCATCATCTCATATTTTATATTCACGACCTTTAATTTTTCAAATCATTCTTCAATTAAATTTTTTAGTAAACGAAGACGTACATATAAAATGAGAATCATGATCGAATTTAAATATACCGGATTAATCAATTCTATATAAATCGAATGCTTTTACATGAAACTATACATCGCATCTGTAGCAGAAACAAATTTTCAACATCGTGACAAGTTATAGATTCGATAAGAAGTTCAATATTTCAGTACTTAGCAGCAATTTATCATTCTTGCAGATAGTCCATATAATCCACTAACACCTCATTTAGGAATGGATGCAAATGACGATTCAGATTGGTATACAACGGATATTGAAGTTCGCATTCGCGATACCCATGATGATCCTGCCCTCGTTGGACAACAAGGAGTCATCCGACATGTTTCAGTAAGTAATTCTGTGTTTTAATTTTGGACTTAATAAAAATATTATTAGACATTAATAGATATTATTGGATATCGGATATTGGATAATTTATATACACTCGTTTTTGTGATTGCACTGATTTTAAAAAATAACACATTTATTTGTGGCAGGGTGGTATATGCACTGTTTATCTACCTACGGAAGATCGAGCAGTGAGCATAGTGTGTGGACAATTAGAATTTGTAGTACCGTCACGTGGCGATCGAGTTAAAGTGATTCTTGGTGAAGAAGACCGTGAAGCCGTCGGCACTTTACTTTCGATCGACAATCAAGAGGGAGTGGTAAAGCTCACTACGGACGAGATAAAATTCTTCCAATTTCGGTTTTTGGGTAAAATGGAAGACACAAAAGGATAGAATGATGAGCGATACCGCTATTGATAGCGTTCTCTTTTAATGCACCTTATGCCTTATATATAACGCAATAATAAATGACATTTGTATATTATAAACACATTATATGTCTGTTTTTTTCTCATGTTCTGCATTATAATTTGTAGGGAATTCGAAATAGTAGGAAAGAGAATGCATCATTTTGATTTTTGAATATTGCTGTCATGATTACAACTTGACAGGGATGACATTTGTATATTATAAACACATTATATGTCTGTTTTTTTCTCATGTTCTGCATTATAATTTGCAGGGAATTCGAAATAGTAGGAAAGAGAATGCATCGTTTTGATTTTTGAATATTGCTGTCATGATTACAACTTGACAGGGTTGGGTAAG